ATTGAAGTCCTTGAAATTAAATATTGCTATATATATTTCCCACGCATGGTAGCTCCCCCGAGGAGGAAAGCATAACTAGCCGTTGATTTAGGTTCAAATTTATGTATGAAGTTTGAACTACAATTTTTTCTTGCCCATAAAATTCATTAAGGAAAATAGAAGACTGATGGAAATGAGAATGTAGAGAGTGAAACTAGGTGGTTCTTATTGCTATGAAGTTATTTGCAATTTCATGTCCTCAAAATATTGTAATTATGGGTCAAGTTATGGCTTCTAAGAGAATTTCCTAAATTTATTTTTAAATAAATATTTTTTAAAGATTCAAGTTAAAAAATATATATATATTATATTTATTTTAAATAAAAAGTTAAATTTATCTTGATCTAAAATGAGACATTTGGTATTTACTTTTTTATATATTATTGTTGCGTGTCGGAAGATTCGCAACAATAGAGTGATAATTTAACATCTCAGTTTTGTACAAAAATATAGCACACACACAGATAATTGGAAAAGTATTAGGAGGAGTCACCAATATTTTTTATTTGGAAATCAAAAGGAAAAAAACATGGGTTCACAGTATGGTTGCAGGTACATGGGTTCACAGTTCTCCTGAATTAGAGAAAATGTAATTAAAATGCTTATAATTGCAAGTACACTATAGATAATTGTAATTGGGCTACAAAGAATGTTGTTCTTGGTGATAATAGTAATAACCAAACATAAAGGCTGTAGTTGGTGCCTACAAACGTCGCAGTTAGTCATAAAGACTATAGTCGATTACTACAATAGTGTCAGTTAGCCACAAATGACGTAGTTGGATACTGTAATAATATTTGTTTACGGTGAAGGTTATGGTTGAAAATTGAAGTAGCAGTAAGCCACATAACTGTAATTAGTTACATAGGTCGTGGTTGGTAGATGTGATAACATCCATTGGCCACAGAGACTATAATGGGAAGCTTTAGTAGTAATTGACCACATAGGTAGTAGTTGGTAGCTGCAAGCCATAGTAGGAAGTTGCAGAAGTAACTGGCCTCATAGGTCATAGCACAGAGACTATAATGGGAAGCTTTAGTAGTAATTGCCACATAGGTAGTAGTTGGTAGCTACAAGCCATAGTGGGAAGTTGTAGAAGTAACTGGCCTCATAGGTCATAATTCGTAGCTACAAGGGTGTCAGTTGGTCACATAAGTATAGTGTTGAGCTGCAATAATGTTTATAGGCCATATAGGTCGTTTTGAGAGCTACATGAGCTTGAACACGTTGGCGTAGTTGGTCACTTAGGCGATAAAAAGTGAGTCGTAATAACGTCTGTAGGCCACAGAAGTCGTAATTGAGAGTTGCATGAGCATGGTTGACCACCATGGTCTTAAGGGGAAGCTGAAATGAGAGAACTTTAGGAGTGTAGAGAAAGTCATTGTATTCCAAGTATGTCAGTCATAAATCATTCCAGTCGAGAGTTATCGTGAGATATTCAATATGATGTTATTCATTACCCCAAATTGGGGTATGTTTTTGTAATGGATTTAGGGTCATTGCACAATATTTGGGTTGTGTCGTTACAACACAACATGTGTCGTGGCTTTACAAGGTGCTTCGTTGCAACATGCATCTTTGCCCAACAAGGACCACTGATGACGACGGGCAGGGGGCTGTCGATGGTGGTTGACGGTGGTTAGCAAGCAGTTGTTGAAGGTCATTGGCAACTACAAATACAAGATTTGTTTATTATGTCTTTGAATCCAAAACGAACCTCAAATTCTCCTTCTCTTCCTGCTCCAGCTTTCAGTGTTTGTCTTTGTCTTTTGGTCTCCCTTTAAAATGGAGGCAGGACTCTATTTATATAGGCTGGGAGTGGCCTTCCTTGTAAGCAGGGAAAGAATTTAGATCACTTCATTGGACTGCCTAGAGAGATTTTCACGATCAAATGATGTATTGTGAACATTTTAGAGCCTTAATGATGTCGAAATTGAGTAATCTTAAGCTCATTGGATTTATCAAATCTAAAAGTTTGATTTAATTATAAACTCAGATTTGGAATCCATTTGACTTTCTAATTAGTCATCCAAAGCTTTCGAAGGCGATTAAAAGATTGATATGGGCTCGATTTGAGTCGAACTAGACTAATTTTGATGTTATTACATTCGTCTCATCGAGCTAGTCGGTTTGACTTCAAGTTTGTTGAAATCTTTTTTTTTTGAAAGATTTTTAATTTGAGTTTAAGGATTTCTCATCCAAACAATGTCTCGAGATTCGTATCATACCTCAACGATCTTGTCATATGATGAAAATTAACAATGTCTCGAAATATACAACTTTATTATAAGAAAGAGCTTAAAATAAATAAAATAATTAGATTAACTCGGTTTTTTTTAAAAATAAATGTATATATTAAATCATAGATAGATTTAAATTGAATGCCTCGCTATTGAACATTCTTTATTCTAAAATAATAATTATAATAATAAAGTCTAAACTTAAAAAAGGTAATGAAAAAAAGTTCTACATAAAACTTAAAGTCCAATTCCTTAATATAATGTGCATTTACTCGCAATATAACAGTTGAAGGTTTAGTTTTCTACCTTGAGTTCGCAAGTTCGAAACGCAAATATTACTCTTTACGCTCAACTATCTCGAAAAAAAAATCCTTAATATAATCATACTTACTTTTAGGCCAACACCCACGAAAAAAACTTTCTTAATAACTCCTTACATAAAAGGTAAATTTAAGTGAAACATTAAGATTCAGAAAAGAAGGGACCCTTAAACTGACTTTTTTTTCTTATGAGTGCATGTGATATTTAAAGAGATAGGATGGCATCAGCTGACTTTAACATGAACATGAAAAACAATTTAACACATGCTATCAATAATTTGATAATTTCTTAGGGTAGAAATAGAGGCCTATGCTAGTAAACCAAAAGACACTAAGTAGGGGATTTTATAAATTGAAGTTTACCAAAATATATATGGAGATTTAGTTGCCAACTAGCCAAGGAGCCTTTCACTATATTAAATATATTATGGAAGTTAACGCTAAGAAGTATTTTGCCTAGTAAATATATAAAAAAGTGGGCTTGTGAAAATGTTTGACTTTGGGATTGTGTTAAAGTTGAATGACAATGTAGATATTTTTTAGAGCCCAATAATGCTCTACCTAGTAAATATATAAAAAAGTGGGCTTGTGAAAATATTTGACCTTGGGATTGTGTTAAAATTGAATGACAATGTAGGTGTTTTTTAGAGCCCAATAATGTTCTTTATGTGATTTAATGCTTAACTCCATAGATGTGTAGAGGCTAAGAGTACTTCTAAGGCTAGTGAGATTGTCCATAAATTCTTTCCTAAAGATAAAAATGTTTTCCACATGGAGTAGGTGGTATATGCATCCATAAAAATGTCAAAAATATATAGTGAAAGTAGGGGACCTTATTGAAGCCTTGAAGGCCACTTGAAGAGTGAAAGAAACCTTCAGTTGAACTGCCAATAATGATAGAATAAAATAACTTTAAAATGTAATCCCTTTAATCCACGAGATGAAGAGACTCGTAAACCCCATTTGAGGCATTCATGTCATAAGAAATTCTCAATTAATCAAATTAAATGCTTTCATAATGCCCAATTTTACACACACAATAAATAAAAAAAAATCCTTAGACCATAGTTATTGTTAAATGCATTCAGATTATCTCTAGAAATTAAGAAATTGTCAAAAGAGACATGTGCCATTATCTAACCTAATATAATTCACATGAAAGAATGAATCAAATCAGGTTGAGGTACAACATGTGAGCAAAACTTTATCGTAACTTTCATTATGCATAAATATCATAATCATTCATTGTAAGTTTCCCTCGGTTCAGGATCTATATTAGAAAAAGTAATAATTAATCTTACTATAGTCAACTACAATGAGCTTTGAGGCATTAATATTGGATCCTATAGAATAAAGAAGGGATGGTGTGCCATCTCACTAAAAATATGGTCAATACACAATAGATAATATATGATCTCCAAAAATATTCCAAGAGGCGGAGAACAATTCATGAACTGTGAAATTGTCATCACTAACATCTTCATCATGATAGGAGTTAGATATATTCTACTTGAAATGCTACAAACAGTATGACATTACATAATTAAGAATAGATAGAGAAGAGAATGAAGCTAAAGGGGTGGTAATAGCTTTGATAAAATTAATATTGGCTCTCCATTTTGCACTAGAATACATGAACTTGGGGTAAAACTTGCGTGCTAGACTTTCAAATAATCTTTATCTCTTTGCATGATTAATGAGGAGTTGGTTGTAATAACAAGCAAGGTTGTCATTTAAAGAGGGATTACTAGGGTGGGGGTCCAACAAAAGAAGGATCTAATTTTATCCTTCCTTGAATGCATTAATGCCAATTTCAAAGATATTCATAGAGAACCACTGTTATTTAACTCTTGCTTTAGGGAGAGTTCTAGCGTTTTAAGCATCTTAGGCAAATAAACATAATTTATCAAGCAAAATAAAAAATATGGCGAGCCATCAAAATAATTGTGAATATTTGTTTACTATAAAGATTTGAAATTTAGATATTACTTGGTATATGTTTTTATTTTTACCTGACTTCGTAGTTGAGAAAATGATTAATGAAAAATATTATTCATTTGAATGAAAGTTATCTCACAAAACATTAACATTTTTTTAAAAAATTATTTAAAATTGTGATGGAAAAAGAGCCTTTTAAAATAATTTTAAATTTGAAAAAAGTACATACATACCACATGATTTTTTTCATCTTTATGTATCTAGCACCTAAAATTTGATATTTCCATATATATAATTGTTATAACTATACTAAAGAATTGAGTGTTATTTATCTAAATATGAGAAATTAGATATGTGATTTATAAATATAAAAAAATTTGGGGTATGTACATAAATATCCCAAATTTGCCTCAGATATATATAACGTTAATCTGTTATCTACATTCACAATAAATTTCATAGTACTATCCTCTCTGCCAAAAAGAAATCCTAGCACGCACATGCCTCATTTTCCTCCTCCGGCAATTATCGTCCTCTCGTGCAACTGTAACCTGCCATGGCTGCTCAGCCCAGAGAAGGAAAGAACGTTGAAGAATGCGGAGATATAGCAGGGAATTGAAAGACTACTTAAAGTTTAACCGAAACGAAAGAGCCGCACAAGGAAACGTTGAAAAGCTCTTACCTTTCCCATCTATCTATCACCATTCCTTCGCCTTCCTCTTCCTCCTCCTCCTCCTCCTCCATTGCCCCATCTCTATAAACCTCTGTCTCCGAGGATTACTGCGGCGGAGTTGAGCATCGTTGTTAGCCAGGAGGAAAGAGGGATGGAGAAGACGAAGCAGCAGGAGGAGAAGAAGCCGTCGGCAGTGTCGGACGTGGGGGCGTGGGGAATGAACGTTGTGAGCTCCGTCGGGATTATAATGGCGAACAAGCAGCTTATGTCCACAACGGGTTACGCATTCACGTTTGGTCAGTTCTTGTACCATCACTTTTCAGTTGCGTTGCTCTGTCTCTCTCGCTGTCTATTGCGTCTCAGATTTTTTAGTGATTGATTTATGATGGGAAGACGCATTCACGTTTGGTCAGTTCTTGTACCATCACTTCTCAGTTGCGTTGCTCTGTCTCTCTCGCTGTCTACCGTGTCTCAGTTTTTTTAGTGATTGATTTATGGTGGGAAGCAGTTTTAGGTTTTGATATGAGATGTTAGCCCTCAGGTGGAGGGAGAAGAGGGAACTCTAGAGTGAGAGCTAATATCTTCCTTACCTAACCGATCTTAAAAACTATTCAAACTATTGATTAGTCAATGTGCTTTAAGGAATATTATTGCTCCTATTTGGCACAACACAATTAAAATACTTTCACAACAGAATTTCTATACTTATTACTCATTCATGATAAGGAAAAGTATATTTTATTTAAATTGTTCCATATCGATTTTCTTATCACCAATATTCTCATTGTTTTTGCTATTTTCATTCAGTTTATCAGTGATTAACCGCCATATTTTTCTCTGTCAGCAACTACTTTGACTGGTTTGCACTTTGGTGTGACTGCATTGGTTGGATTAGTTTCAAACGCCACCGGATATTCTGCTTCAAAGCATGTTCCTCTGTGGGAGCTTCTCTGGTTTTCCCTTGTCGCCAACACATCCATCACAGGGATGAACCTGAGCCTTATGCTTAATTCTGTTGGCTTTTACCAGGTTCTGATTTCATTACTGCTTCACCTCTTTTACAAATCAACATATCAAGTCCCTGATATAGAAATTTTTATAGATTTCCAAGCTTAGCATGATTCCTGTGGTTTGTGTGATGGAATGGATGCTTCATAACAAGCAGTATTCAAAGGAGGTGAAGATGTCTGTTTTAGTGGTGGTTGTGGGTGTTGGTGTTTGTACAGTGACAGATGTCAAAGTTAATGGCAAAGGTTTTATATGCGCGTGCATAGCAGTGCTTTCCACATCTTTGCAGCAAATTGTGAGTTCTTGCTAATCCATCAATTTTTACTTAGCAAAATTTTTTTAAAACCGTTTTTAAATTGGTTGAGTTTAATTCTTGTAATTTTCTGATTACGCTTTTAGATGCTTTGTACAAAAGTTTGTATGAATTTTGCTCATGTTCTAGCATGTTCTTAGACCTTAAGCGTCCCTGCTGAAACCTTATGCTCACTCCCAACAGCACACTTACACAAGAATATCACTATTTATTCACGTCTCTCCCATCAACACACTCTCTTGTAATTTTCTGATTACGCTTTTAGATGCTTTGGACAAAAGTTTGTATGAATTTTGCTCATGTCCTGGCATGTTTTTAGACCTTAAGCTTCCCTGCTGAAACCTTATGTTCACTCCCAACAGCACACTTACACAAAAATATTACTATTTATTCACGTCTCTCCCATCAACACACTTACACAAGAACAGAAGAGGTGAAAAGTACAATCAAGAGCTCTACTGGCTCTTTAATACTTGAATACTTTGGTGATTATTATGAATGGGAGGGTCTCCCCCTTTTATAGGGTCAAAAGCCTTTCCTTCCAACTAAAAGAATATCTCCAATTTTGTGGAAGCTTCCTACACCAAAAGTTATCTAAAACATTCCAGAATGCTAGATACACATGGGAATTATACATAATTCTAGACTATTTCATAAGCTTGCCATACATGACATTCTCCCCTAACAATTTTGATGATGCTCTTATACTAACTTTTTTTCAAAATACTCGATTGCTTTTGGAATTTTCAAAGAGCTTCCTTGGGCTCCCAATTCACTTCACTCTCCTCATTTGTTCATTTTTTTTTCAAAATGCTTGATTGCTTTTGGAACTTTCAAAGAGCTTCCTTGGGCTCCCAATTCATTTCACTCTCCTCATTTGTTCGACCTAACAAGTGTTCATGCAACATAGTACAATTCCTTCTCTACATGACCAATCAGTCAAGATGCACCCCTCCTTACAGTCGTGCAAAATATTTGTTACAAGTTTTGCATGCCGAGATCCCCCTTGATTCACATGGCCATGCAAGGACCAACTTAGCTTGAGTTTTGATGAGAATTCAAGTTTATCGGCGACCTTGTTCACATGATTAGGAACGATGAAGAGCCCTTTTTTTTAAGGGACCAACCTCTTGTTTACATCCTTATGACTTAAGAATCCATTCAATTTTGCTAATACAAGGTCCTTGACTTGGCACTCAATATTTGGTTGCACTCAATCTACATGCTTCTTTTGCTTTGCAACTTTGCATATCATCAGACTGCTTCCCTTATAACCCCTTCCAACAACACTCGACATTAATTTTTGTTCTATCATAGCCTTAGATGAACACTTAGATTTGCGGATGGTGGCTATCTATAACTTCTGCCCATCTTTAGTCTCCTCTATATGTTTGGCTGGAAAGCTAGCTTATGTTCGGTCTTCTCAATTACATGGCTTTTTATCCTTCACCAATAATCTAAAGAACCACAATAACTTAGTTTCACCTCCTTGGACTCACCCCCCTACTCCTACTTGCCATTCTTGACTAGAGCAACAAGCTTTACTTGAGTTGAGCACCCTGTCTCTCTATGCACATCATGGCACAAAAAGCACTTCAAGGGATACTGATCCTTTTTCCATCTTACCATACGACCCTATCTTCCCCTTGTGTATGGTTGAACTTATCACAACCTCTCCCACCTTCTCCTTATCTAGTACTTGGGGTCTGATTTGTTTCTTGGCTTGAACTCAAACAAGGCCTCCCCACTGACATGTTCTTTGATAGCTTCAACAAGCACCTTCATTGCAGCTTGAATTTGGTTCTTGGTTTGAGGCCTTCCATAAACTAGAAGAACATTTTTCTCATTCAAGGCGAGTACTCACTAAGGTTTTCTATCATTAAGAAAATGGGAGAAAATCAATTTAGACTTTTGTGACTTGAAGGACATTTGAAGTCCTTATTAATAAGCCCTTGAGGCTGAACATGAGTTGTTTGCGAATGACACGCTTTTTCTACAGCTGCTTGGCATCCACCATCAATAATGTACTTAGAATTGATCTACAATAATAAATTCAAAATTAAGATAAATATGAAAATTTCAGAGTTATATAAATGATATGTTGGATTTTTGAATCATAGAGAATGATATGGAAAAAGAGAAGAATATAATTTATTAATTGATAATTCATGATATAGGTCGAATCATATTTAATAAAAATTGAACTAACACTAAAATTGGTGGTATTTCTAACTTATGCTTTCATTCCAATTCATTAATTCATGATTGAGTTCATCCATTTTTCTAGTTTCTAAGGATTCTTGTAAGAAACTCTTTCGGGTTTAGATGAATTATAACTCTATCACAAAGTTTGAATTTCAAAACATCTCTAATTCACATCATCGTTAGACTTATAATTGTCATTATTAAAATAAAATTTTCTATAAATAATTTCATGCACATCATGCAGATAAATAATGAATGATACGTTATTTTCTGATGCATGATGAGTTAATGCTAAAATAACAATATGCTTCGTAAAGAATACACTACAACTAATTCTTAGAAGAGAAGATGAAGAAAAATTAAATTTAATGTTTGACAAGTTCTATTAAGATTTCTTCTCATAATAACCAAATCATATAAATATAACATGCTTGTCCTATGGATGAACAACTTTTCTAAAGAAAACTGATCTGAATGGCTTATATGATTTTTCATTATGAATTACTTTATAATTTAGTTAGATAGATGAAGATTTAGGGTTTGTTTAGGACGGTTGCAATTGTTTGAAGAAGCAGTTTTAGGAAGTTGTTGTTCAAAAAACTACGATGGTTATTAAAAAAAATCAAAATAAAATGAAATAAAATAAAAGTCAAACTATAGCTTTCTAACAACCACCACAGATAGTCAGGTCCGATGGAAAAACACAAGTTTCAACTACAATTTTAAAAAAACAGACAAAAGACAGTTTTGTCAAACAAAAAATAAAATAAAATAAAAATAAAGATAAAATTTATAATTTTCATGGAGATAATTTCATTGAGAACTTTGTCCAATGTTATATTAAGTGGACAAAATTTGCTCATCTTTCAAATTCAATCATGGATCTAGTTTCAATTAGAAATTCATGTGCAAATATGATATCATTTCTCATTGTTAGATTTTGAGTCATATTCAAACTCTTGCTCAAATATAGGTCAAGTTCATGACCATGTTCTAATTTAGGTGTTGTGGACTCTGAAAAATTTGATCGTTCCCCATGAACTCTCTGCATTTGTTTTGTTTTTTTTGTTGTGAGAGAGAACTTTGGAGGATCAAATTTTCAGAAGGAAAATTGAATAGTAGATAAGATACCACCCAAAGATTTCACATTCATTTTGCGAGGGCTTTTTGATATGGGGTTCGAGGTTTCCCATAGGCACAAGCCTCTAGGGTTAATAACCCCTCCAATAACGAGAGAACACTTTTTATTCATGTTAGTTATTAAGAATTGAATATTCAACATACAATAACAACATACTTAGGATTTTAAATTGTGAAAGTTTATCACTTGAAGCTTAAAGTGATTGGTGAGGGAATGAAGATAAAATCTGATCAAGATGTCATGGTTTCGTCATCTCAGGTCATTGTGGTCCCTGATCTAATTAGTTAGAGGAGATAGTCGATCTAACCTGACAAAAAAAATTTTCTCTGCAATCATGGGTTGCGTCATCCAAGAGATCCTTATAGATCTAGGGTGAATATTTGTCTAAGGGGACAAATTTAAGTCGATCTTAGCTAACAAATGGTTTTGTGTTAATCAATTGTACCATTATGATTTACAACTCAAATGGTAGAAAGTTATTGAGAAACATACGTGTTGCTGCCATGACCGTAATCTTTGTGAGCTGAAGTCAATAAGAAGTTTGTCACCTTCAACAAACTGCTGCGAATGGTGGATGAAATTTATTTTTAAATCTTTAGTGGTGATTTTAACTTGAATACTTTAGTTAACTACCTTAAATTTTTTTATTTAAAAGATTGACCCCTTTGGTTGAAATCTTAGATCAACATAGCCATCTTCGGAGAATTAGTCATTTAAAATATTTACATGTAAAGTAGAGCATTTAATTTTGTCCGTTTAGACTTTTAGGGTATAAGTCCTGTTAACTCTTGTCATTTTAAAAAGGAGGATCAGACTAGGTGATTTTGACTTGTAAATTTTTATTTTAGAATTTGGACATTTATCAAATTTACTAGACTCGTTAACTTCAGTCCTTACGAGGAGAATGATCGAATTAGTTAGGTGTGGCTTACAACTCTGTCTTATAGACAAGGCGACCCGATTAGCCCACGCAGCATTTTCGAACCTCGTATTTAAACATTTAATATTTTGGCTGGAGCACATACAAACATTTAAATCTATATATTTGAGTTATTTTATCTGGAGCATATGTTGACTTGAGACCATTTATATGATTTTAAAATATGAATTAAATCAAATGTTTGCATAGAAGTTTTTTTTTTAGCACTTTATTGTCTTTTGTTCGCTAGCAGATGTGTTGCAAATTTCATTGTTAGATTTTGAGTCATATTCAAACTCTTGCTTAAATATAGGTCAAGTTCATGACCATGTTCTAATTTTGGTGTTGTGGACTCTGAAAATTTTGATCGCTCCCCAGGAACTCTCTGCATTTGTTTTGTTTTTTTGTTGTGAGAGAGAACTTTGGAGGATCAAATTTTCAGAAGGAAAATTGAATAGTAGATAAGATACCACCCAAAGATTTCACATTCATTTTGCGAGGGCTTTTTGATATGGAGTTCGAGGTTTTCCATAGGCACAAGCCTCTAGGGTTAATAACCCCACCAATAACGGGAGAACACTTTTTATTCAGGTTAGTTATTAAGAATTGAATATTCAACATACAATAACAACATACTTAGGATTTTAAATTGTGAAAGTTTATCACTTGAAGCTTAAAGTGATTGGTGAGGGAATGAAGATAAAATCTGATCAAGAT